GAAATTAAGAGACAGTGTATTTATCTCTCCACTGAATGGGACACATGTAATGATTGGATCAACATTTTCAGATCTTTGGCATCCTAATGTACATAATGGATCAAATCAAAATAATGTTGCACTACATCATTGTCAGTTCTGCTCCTCATATCAGGCGGCAGCTCCTGTTACACAGGCTAATAACACCGCCACCCCTCCGGCTGTAGAAGAGGAGGCCAAAGAAGACGGAGAGGAGTTAGAGGATCTGTCTGCTGTGCTGGAACATCTGGGCCTGTCGGAGTACAAGAGTACCTTTGATGAGGAGAAGATTGACATTGAATCTTTTGTAAGAATAAAATAAGCCTTGGTTTGTAAGAAAAATGAATCTTGGTCATGGAGGATTATTTTGAAAGCTGATAACATTTAAAAATTGGAAAGTAATTTAAGAACAGCCAGGTTGTCCGATGTCTTCCAGTCATTCTTAGAGGATAGGCTGACTGATTAATTGTGTCCCTTTCTCATGTTCTTTTAGCTCATGTGCACAATTGAGGACCTGAAAGAGATGGGAATCCCACTGGGTCCCAGGAAGAAGATTGCCAAGTTTGTCAAAGAAAGAGTGATGAAGCAGGTGAGTTTGTCTCCCGGGTTTTTGTGCAGCTTGCAAACCAGTGGTGATGACTAACACAAGCTTTTTGTCTTGTCCACAGGCAGCTCAGGAGAAGAAAGCAGAAGTGAAAGAGGTCAGTCAGGCTGCAGCACCACCAGCGGCGGCAGCTGAAGCTCTCCCTGACCCCACTCTAAAGAAGCTTCCTGTGGGCAGCACCGTCTCCTCCGTCCACGTCGACTACAATTACTTTGAAGTTGGTACTGGACAGGTAAATGTAACTTAACACACAAAGAGGGGGAATGTTAAAGTTGTTAAAGATTCTGAATTTGACTTGACATTTAATAATAACTTGTTCTGCAGGTGTCAGTGGTGTACCACTCTCTGGACTTTGAGCCAGTGAATTTCTTCGCCCTGGGTTCTCCAATCGGCATGTTCCTGACAGTCCGAGGGCTGGAGAAGATCGAGGAGACGTACCAGCTGCCCACGTGCAAGGGATTTTTCAATATTTACCATCCGGTACGCAGCTCCTTCAACCTGATTAAGCTACAGATGCATGAATGTTGTTCGCCCACTTGACATGTAGCTCATTTTTATTGTTTTTGGTTGCAGGTCTGCAGATATTCCATTGTGCAAAGGCATTTTATTCATTCACAATCAGCTGTAATTATAAAAAAAAATTGGCTTGGCTGGGTATCGAACTTTGGTACTTTTATGGACCGACTAAACTGGTTTGATGCTATCGAGGATCGTCACTCATTCCATAATAAATGTCGATACCTAAGGAGGAAAATCTCACCAGGGTCAGTTAGCCAATCAGCATGCAGCATGCTTGGAGTAAGCTCTAATAATGTTTGTGATTGGCTGTTTATTTACACAAACACATTTGAATGACACCAAGCTTAAAAATAAAATTAAAGTAAAACTTGTTCTGTAATGTGTTTTGTAATTTTCTTTTTGTTAAAATAGATTTGATAAAACTGGTATCAAAAAAAGTATCGTTAAGAATCAGTATTGAAGTCAAGGTATCGGTATCAGTACCGATATTGAGAATTTTTGAACGATACCCAGCCCTGCATAAACATTTAGCACTTAACCCCACCTGTCCACACGTTAAATCCTGTGTGAGAAAATACAGATCAGTGTAGCTGAGTTCCTTTCTGCGCTACCCTCTGTTAGTTTCATTATTTTCTTTCAGTTGGACCCAGTGGCATACAGGATCGAGCCCATGATAATTCCGGACTTGGACTTGAAGCCTGTTTTGATCCCTCATCACAAAGGAAGGAAGAGGCTTCATCTTGGTAAATTTCTGCTTGCATCACCTCAGATAACGATGCCGCTGTTGTCATAATGCTGGTTTAAACATATTTGATCAGCTACAAGTGAATTAAAGCATGTCATAAGCTTAAGCTGAGTTCTTGACGAGTGTTTGTACATGTTGTCTCCTCAGTTCAGTCCTCTCTGCCCCATATGGGTGGGGTGCCCTAATTTGTGTGGTGGCAAAATACAAAGAACCTATTCTTACAGTGAAACAGCTATACCACAGTAAAATGGCAAAACAGACTGAACAGTGTTTTCTCTCTCTTGGTTGTGCAGAAAAATATAAGCTGGATGTCAAAGTGAAGTTTCTCTTGGTTTTTTTAGACTGAAATGTTAACTTTGAGAAGAAGACAGTTGGTCTTGTTTCTTCTCTGTTGTTTAATTTTCTAGACACCAGATGTCTAATAATCGGTTAAGTAAAATAAGTACGTTTGTCAGTTTTGCTCCGCATATAGATATTTAATAAAATATAAAAAAAATAACATGTTATCATATGTGAAAAGCTTTATCATGCAGATGGATGAAGTGGTGGATGTGTTGTGTTTCAGAGCTGAAGGAGAGTCTCTCCAGGATGGGCTCAGACCTGAAGCAGGGATTTATCAGCTCCCTAAAGAGCGCCTGGCAGACGCTCAATGAGTTCGCTCGTGCTCACACCTCGTCTGCCCAGCTCCAGGCTCAGCTGGCCATGGTGGCCAATCAAATCGAAGAAGAGGAGAAGCAAGCGGAGGAGGGTGAGTTTCTCTGATTTGTGACCTTTGAGCCATGTTATTTCTGTATTGTGTGTGATTAGTAACATCTATTCTGATTTGTTGCAGAGCACAAGATCCCAGAGAGCCCTGAGCCACAGAGAGAGGAGGAGCCTCAGGTGAAGATCGGGATGCTGAATGGAGGGAATCGCATTGACTACGTCCTGCAGGAGAAGCCCATCGAGAGTTTCAACGAGTACCTGTTTGCCCTCCAGAGTCATCTCTGCTACTGGTAAAGAGAACTTTATTTCGTTATGGCTTTTTAACACTGCACAGATTTTTAACATCCCACATAGTATAAAGGTAGATTTCCATGTTTATATTATAAAGCAGGTCTAGGTTTTACATTAATACTGTGAAAGTATCAAAGCGTTCAGTCCACAGAGAAATGCACACAGCCTGTATTCAGAAACTGAGCCTTAAAACCAGCCGTCAGGACTTCTGGAACTTTGTGATGTCACAACCCTCAGCCATCAGCCTAGCCTCAACTAACGCTAACCCACTATCTCTTGCTTTTGAACTCTTGGTCTGACAAAGACATGTGAAGACGTCACCTTGGCCTTTGGGAAACCGATGGGAACTATTCAGTGTTTTCTGATGTTTTATAGATGAAATGATAAATCAATAATGAAAATAATAGTTTTGTCGCAGCCTTAATTGCAACATTTTAAGAAAACCTCTTCTAAGTTAGTCACACACTTTTTACTACAGATAACCTTAAGTTGTTAAAAAAATGACATTTGTAAATAATCACATTTCTGCCGCTGTATAATTTTCAGATTCTCTGGTTTTCAAATAGGCCTGATATAAAATTCATGACGGCTGAATCCCCGTTTACATCTGCAGCTCAACCACTTTACCTGCTGACAGATGAAGGTGTATTAACACATTTGTTATTTTCCAGGCAATCTGAAGACACCGCTCTGCTCATTCTCAAACAGATCTACAACACCATGGGGATCCATCCGGAGCAGCTAGCACATTAATACAATGAAGTACCTGAGATGAAAATAAGCCTGTCTGAAACTTTCCCATTTGGTTTATTTCATGTCAGTTCTCCTGGATTTTGATTATGCTTTTTCTATTTTTTTTTCCTTTCATTTTCTATTCATGTAGTTTATTGTATACAGATGAATAATACAATTGTATTATGCCATTTGTCTTAAATTAAGAAACATGCGAATGAGCTAGTTAATTCAAAGATACTTGACGAGTTTAATATTACATTTTTATAGCATAAATTATAGAACTGGTCAAGTTTACTGAAAATATGTATCATTAAAATCAAATGCAAACAGCCGAAATAACATAGCAGCAGTTAATGCAGCCTTCTGTAAGTTTTATTTCATGGACAAAATGTCAAAATAAATCATTTCCTTGCACAAGTTCTGTTTGAATTGTTGTGAACTGCTGAGAGGAAGACATGGAACATTTCTCCTGCAGGACAAGGAGACATTAAGACTATCTACAAAAAGCTGGAATATCTGCAAAAACATTGATTCAAAAATAATTACAGTACAGGATGAGAGGCAAGAAAAACCTGCTTTCTTTGTGAGAAAAATAAAGCACTTCTTGCCTGCTCCACCAAAGCTGTACTCATGAACGTTACACCTCTCACCTGTGACTGAGCCCCTCAGCTGCAACATCCTCCCTCAATATGAAATGGAGTAAAATTAACAAGCTCCAACACAGCTCCAGACATTATCAAAACAATCGCTTCAACATTTCATGTCACTTAAAGCATGTAGGCACGTACGACAAAAGTATTCAAGTCACGTGTACGAAACAAAGGAATATTTAGAAAAGTATTTACAATAGTGGCTGTAACATTCAATCTCAGCCCAGTATTAGGACTCACAGCGCTGTGAGCGAGTACCACTGGGCAGAAATGACAGGTCTGTTATTTGGACAATTATACTGGTTATCAGAGTCCTGATATCATAGTGCTGCATGCTATAAGCAGATCTTTGCTCCTGGCTCTTTCACTATTTGATCAACATGCTTCTTTGTTAAACCGACCACTTGGAAACTCATCAGCAAAAGAAGATAGTGACCGACTGTCACATAAAACACGCACAAAAAGGTCCCTTTTTTACCACGATGCCAACCTATATATATATATTTATATATATATATAAATATATATATATAGGTTGGCATCGTGGTAAAAAAGGGACCTTTTTGTGCGTGTTTTATGTGACAGTCGGTCACTATCTTCTTTTGCTGATGAGTTTCCAAGTGGTCGGTTTAACAAAGAAGCATGTTGATCAAATAGTGAAAGAGCCAGGAGCAANAAAACACGCACAAAAAGGTCCCTTTTTTACCACGATGCCAACCTATATATATATATTTATATATATATATAAATATATATATAATATTAACAGAACAGTATGGCTCCATAAACAACTGCTAATATACTGTTTAAAGTGAAAGATTGCTTTGATCTAAAGTTGATAACCAGCAGAAATTTACTGGTTCTTGTAGGGTCGACTTACATTTTTTTAAACTTCCTTTTGAGAAAGTGCAGCTTTCAAACTTTCATTTTTCAATTAAAAAGCCATTCCAAACGCTGACAGCTGGTTGGGCTTGTCTGACACACTTTTGGAAGACGCAGCTGGAATCTTCCGGCTGACGTCACATTCAGCAGCGGAGAAGGTGAAGAAACTGGTTTACAAGTCGGGTGCCATGTTTGAAGCAGGTAGGATGGCTTAATAACTGCATGCTTATTCAAATGACTGCAGTATGTAAAAACACAATGTCAACATAAATCCAAGAGATATATTACTTGTTCTACACGTGTAACTTTTCCTTCAGCAGGTTAAATGTTGCTCATTTGATCATGTGCTTGTGTTTGATTCTGCTGTAGCTCCTCAATAAGAGTTGTACCATGTTGTGAAGTTTTACATTGATCAACGTTTTTTGTACATTCATTTGTCTACAGCTGTGCAGTGAAATGCAGAAGGATCCATGTAAACACGTCTTTGCTGTAATGTGTTAATATTGTCAGCACCTCTCAGTCTTAACGTTGGAATGACGTTGGGTGGGCGGAGCCTTGCTTAGTCCTCTGTTTTGCTCTGAGTCTTGAAGGCCTGTTTGCGCAGGTGCGCCTCGATCTCCTCGCGGAAAACCAGCATGCCCAGATGAGAGTGGGAGGCCTCGTTCATGGCTTTGGACTGGATGCACATGCGGTACTGCTCGGGCGTCAGTTCGTCCGCACACTGCTTCTCGTGCCACAGGTGGAAAAGGCCGGACACCGGAGTCCGGATCACGATCAGGTCGCTCCGAAGATACTTCCTGTACAAGTGGACGTCTTCCACACCCCAGCCTTTCACCTCCAGATCAAACCCTCCTGGAGGAATAAAATCCATTTGCAAGATGTTAACAACAGAATCATGAACAGCTTTTGAGTTTCATTTGAGTATTACTTATCAAACGATCAGTCCTTACCAATATTTAGAAAATCTGAGCGATACTGACACGTCATTCCAAATCCAAAATCTCTCCAGAATCCAGCATCCTTTTTGTGAATCTGAAGTGAAACAGATGACCACTTACACATCAACACCAAACCTTTGGCTGAAGTTTTATATGAATAAAAAAAGCATCTTTCCACACGTCACATTCGAACTTTCACAGTCCTTACCAGTTGGAGTTCAATGGGTGGAGCCAGCTCCAAATTTCCATAGACAATGGCAGGATTGTACAGACTGAAAACCACTGGATAGAAGACTTTCTTGTCTACAACACAGAAATAAGTATTTTCAGCCTGAAAAAGTTCAGACAGACTATACATCTAATAAACCGGAGAAACAGCATGATAAAACCTACTCGGAGCAGCGTGGAGACGACAGGTGTTTAGGAACTCAAGTGTAAAATGGATGTCGACGTCACAAAAAAACATTAGGACGTCGCCTTTCTTCCAGGCATGGGCTCCGATGTCCAGACCCCGACCTCGTGAAAACTCCTCGTTCACTGGGATCAGGGTGTAATTGGAGAAGCTCTCCTCCCTGACATATAACATAATTCATATAACATATCAGGCACATGAACAGTAGCACAAGCACATGGAAAGCAGTTTCTCAGCAAAAGGACCGACCTTGACATTTTTTCCAATGATGACTTCGCCTCCTGTAGACCTTCCTGCCCAAAATAAACCACTGTGAGATGCACTCGTCTGTCCTGCTGTATGCACACCTCCCTGAAAACGTATATTATACATTTGTCAAATTAATTACAAACACACACTCTAAGGTTTCATCTTATTTCACAACAGTGATGAAAACCAGTCCAAAATGTCAACAACTGAACATGCTGGATCATGTGAAGCAGTCAGCGAGTTTCTGGCTCAGTCTCACCTGAAGTTGTGTAAGAACTGTGAGAAAGTTTCTACTCTGCCCGCCAGCGGCACGATGATGTTAATAATCATTCCTGATGTTTCTACAGATGTGCTCCTGACTTTCATTAAGGGACCAAAAGGCCTGAAGAGCGTGACATGGCGGAAGCTGCTGGATTCCTCTTTGGCAAAGAAGAGCTCGTAAAGTGTCCCTTTGTCTCGCTCGGTCCTGTACAGTCCTGCAAAATAAAAGAATATGGAAAACAATGCTACACTGAGAACTTATCAGCTACACTCATTATCCTATACTTTGAATTTAGGTAGAAAGTGTGTCTTACCCTCAGTAAAGTGACCCTCTGTGTAGGTTTGTCTCTGCATCGGCATGTCGTCCTCCACGCCGTCCTCCTCATCAGGGTTGTTGATAATGTCCAGCGCGGCCTCGATGACCTCCACCAGCTCATCCCTGCGATCTTTGCGGACAGGTTTCTCCTCCGGGTGCCGCGTCAGCCCCATCTCCAGCTGATACACCTTGGATGAGGTGAAACTCTCAAAGGGCACCAGGGCGTACTCGCTGGGCAGGCGCGCCCCTGTGTTAACCTCAGCCTTGTCGATCTGAGAGTGTAAGTACTCCAGCAGATCTCCCGGCTCTTGGTCTTTAGCGTCGGCCAGGCCCTGCACCCCGGGGAGCTCCTTCTTGTCCTGCAGGAGCTTCAGCTTCTCACTCATTTCCTGCAACTCCTGCTTGAGCTGGGCGATCTGGCGCTTGAGACTGGCGGCACGGTTTAGGTGGCGCTCCTCCTGTTCCTGCAGCAGGGCCTGGTAATACTCCTTTCCATAGGTCTCTCCTGCTAGCCCGGGCAGGACCAAGCTGACGTCTGCCGGAGGTGTGCACTCCAGCAGGTACGCAAACAGCAGCAGCACCAGCAGCAGGAAAAGCCCCAGGAAGAGCCAGCGGACCCGGCCCTGGAGCGGCAACCCCCGCCTGGGCATCACGCTCACATACAAGCTATAGCTGCAAAGTCTGCATTCCCTTTCCCCTCAGATCACATTACTTACAATATGTTTCTGCACACCACCTTCTAGATTTGGAGGGCCACTTATGTCATTTTCTGTGAAGGTCGCAGCACTTGGCTCCAATGAATCAGAGTCTTCAAACATTGGTCCTGTGTGAATCCATGCAATGATCACCTGGGAAAAATCACACAAATCCACAATAAGACAAAAAAAAAATTTAACATAAAAGGAACCTCCATGAAGTCTTAGATAAAATGTTCTGGTTCAGATTAAAACAGCAGGGATCAGCAGACAATCAGAAAATAACATTGTGTTACCACTCAGTCAACCTTAGTAATCAACCAACGTGCCACTGACAATTTAATTCAATCAATTAATAAAACATTTTTTTCTAACAACATGTTCAATAAATGGCAAACTTCTACGAAGATTTTACTTTTTAAAGATTTCAGATTTAAACCCGAAGAAAGACAGACATGAGGAATTACCTACACCTGGGCTGTCCTCGCTAGCACACAGCGACTAGCTCTCTGCTAAACAACAGTACAGAGGAAACTGGTGGGCAAGCTTTTCTAGCAAGCTGCTAACGCTTGACTTCCGGTTAAACAGTTTCCTCTTCAAAATAAAAGCGCGACACTCTCCGCTATGCAACAAAAAATTTAGTGCCAAGGGGAATCTTGTAGAGAAAGATTGTAACATGAGGACAAAATGTCCAAAACAGCCACAGTACTGAAGGTTGTTTTACTGATAATCTTGTTATTTACAGATATCTTTTCTGAATGGTTTCTTCAGTTCTAATGTCAGGCGAAAAATCCTCAGTATCTATCCTAGCCTCATCTTATCCACCACATACCACACACAATTGTTTCTTGAAGGTCACGCAAACCTACAGCTCCAGCCCTCAGCACACAAAGTAATCCTGACAACCACAGGCATCACCTGGCCTCACAGGTGTAAATCAGTCTCTAGACAGCTCTAATGAAAACCAGCAAGGTGCTGAGTCCAAAGCGCCAGCTGGACACCATTGCTCTAACATTTCAAGAATCTACAGTAGTTATCAAATCATTTCTTTGCAGCTTGACAGCAAAGGTGAAAACTGAAATTAAAATAATATATACATGTATAATGATCTTGGGGTTGTTCGTTGCGTTTTGGCAACTGTATTTTGATGCTTTGGCAACATTGTTTTTTTTTTTTTAAACTTTCAAGCCAATTAAGTTCATTTGAATTTGACAGCTTATTTTTTACCTAAATATTTCCCTTTTCTAGTCCAACACTGTGTTTCCTCATGAAAAGGAAATTTTAATGCCATGGTCAATACAGACTTTCAGGGTTAGGGTTGATGTTAACTTGCCACAAAATCAAATATAAATACTTAATTAATAAAGCATGACCTGAGACATTTTTGAGAATATAACTACTAACATAAAAAAATATTTACCAAGGAGCCATTCTGCTAGGTCTCAAGATTTTAACCAGTCAATAAAAGAGGAACTAATAACAAAATCTGAACTTTAAGAAATACTTGTTGGGCTATTTTTCATGCAGAATTTAAGTGAGCCAGTGAAAAAGGAAGTCATATTTTGCAAGGTGCCCATATTTCTCCCAAAGTACGGTCCGCAAACAGAGACAGACATTAAGCCTGCAGAGTGTAAACTTCAGAAGAAACAGAGCATAGCACAAATCAAGTCTGTAACACATGGAATTTTATGTTCATGCTGAACTACATGGGAGGATTTCTGCTTTGAAATGTCAGTGACTTTAAATAGCAATCTCTGCGGCTTGGTCCCTTTCTTTCAGTGTGTAACACCCTCCTGTGCTAAAAAAAATTCACATGAAACTCCCAGTTTAGTCATAACATCGATACAACAGATAATGTTTTACAGAAAAAAGGACAAGGATGAAGAAGCTACAGTAAACTTTCACAGTAATACCATCACATTGGTATGAATGTCTCCTCTGTCTGATGGCAACAAACTCAGACTACACATTCATACATCAACAGGGACTCATAAATTCCAGTGACTTCACTTTACTGTTCCTAGATTATTAGACAGCGTCTGTTGTGGTTACCATAAGAAACTAGCCTGATGCCTCAGTTAAAATGAACAGATCTGCTTTGTCATGAGTTTCAGTGATTGGAAAGACCACCTCAGACTGGCTTGTTGCCTTGTTTATCATACAAAGTACAACTATACACAGTGAAGTTATTAAGCAGTGCGGCACACACATATTTTGGTGATAACAACTGTGTCACAGTGTGTCACATTATTCTGTAATATAAATTGCACTGTAGCTATTTTGCACAATGATACGTGAAAAGTGATACCTGGGTAATCTTCAGCACAACCTGTCCCTCTGGAAATTGTGACAGCAAACATTTCGTGTACACTTATTTTGAAAAATCCCCACCGGATATTGGCACGGTTCTGCAGCTGGCTTAGCGACGTTTGGAGCTTCACTACGCTTTCGTGTTATTTTATGGCAGTTACAGAGCCTGCTTATGAGGTATAAAGATAAAAAAAACTACTCACCTGTTCCCGTCTTTGTCCATTCCTGCCTGCGCGTAGGGCCGTGGGTTCCGTGTACAACCACCCACCGCAGGTAGCTTGTGTTGCAAAATGCCACGGAGCAAAGAGAAAAGAGTGGGTCGTAGTCTACTTCCGGTCAACAAGTAACCAATCGGAGTTGTAGGAGGGGATGTCGTCACCAAACACGCTGAAGATCTTTGTTCATAATAATAACGTCATTATTATTAGGATTATTAGGATTATTATGATTATAGTTTAAGGTCACATCATATTTATTGTACATATTAATTACATTATTAATTTCTTGAGAACAACTGATCATTAAAAAGATTAAAACAATTTCTTAGGTCCCAGATATTATATTTTATCTTCTTTTTATTTACTACTTTATTTACTATTTGTCTGTACTTTTTCTCATCTGTGCCAATGCATTAGCTGACAACTCTTAATTGCATTGACACTAAAGTCACTGTCTGTCACTGTATGTCACAGATATTTTTTTTTTTATCAAACTTTTAAACTACATTTTCTTCCTCTTTCTTTCATTACTGACAGATGTGTTTAAGTGCCTCAGTCACAAAAGAGTTAATCAGCTGATTCAGAGCTGTGAAAACAAGAGTTACAAATGTTACCTGTTGCTGTGATTTCAGTGTTACTGAACATGGTCAAAATAAAGATAATGCAAAAGATGAAGGAAGAAGGGATGATGGGTACAATTATATATGCAATTATATGTATATTTTACTATCATAAGAATCTATTATATACCATCTCAGGAATATTTCCAACCTACTCAAGACATTTTTATTCAAAACCTAACCAGACCATTTATATCAATTAAATTATAAAGTAAACAGGAATTATTGAATTTTATGTTTAAATTACATTAAAATTGTGCTTAAACGCAAATCTCTTCCTATAACACCTGGAAAAAAAATTTAAATCCTTATCAGCTTTACTTACAGCCAAATCCAGAGTGGAGCAGAGCTGAGACTCAGTGGAACTGGAAAAGGCACACAAGATTTTCATTATTCAGCGGCACTGAATATTTACACATTAAATGGCTTTTGTAGACAAATGCTTGCCAGGCCACTACTGTGATTTTTTAATAATGATTTAGAAATCAACATTTCTGCAAACTAGAGTATATAATGAACAGATGATGTCTGGAGGTGAACTGACGCTTAACATTATATTTTAATATTATGAAAATAATAAATCATGTCAACCACCAAACAGAAGTTGCATTTTGTTGATTGTAAAAAAAACAAAAAACAGAACAGAAGCTTACTATACTTTCAGAGATATGAGGTGAACAGACGTACTGCACATTTTTAATGTTTATTATTAATTGGAACATAATCAAATAATAACAACATAACAATGATAACACTCATTAGTTTACATAATCGTACTTTTTCCACAAAGTTTGCAATTACAATGAATGAAAAAGTGAACTGTAGTCTGACACAGGACATGGTTACAATCTACGTTAATTCTCATGTCCTTACACTGGAGTAGCACTCACTAGTTGATATTTTTCATGTAAAAAAAAAAAGAAGAAAAGAAATAAGAACAAAAAAACAAGAAAACCGTTCACTGAACAAGTCTGTGTTACTTTTCTTTGGCAACAACAGTTTTGAAACATCTTGTGGGAGAAACACAAAATGGGTCTTTGACATTTTTGAGGAGCACAATCCTCCTACAGTAGAAACTTTACATTTTCAGAACAAGTTCAGCATTTTGCTTTTTCTCCACTCAACCCCCGGCTGTCTACAACAACAGGTGATGGTAAAGACGTCCCCTTTAATTCCTGGGCTGGAACAAGATCTTCACAGTCGCACATTAATAATTGGAGGCTATTGTAGAAGCGGCACAGGCACTTAAAAGACATTGACACTGACATACAATCTGGTACAATAGTCATGCAGTGATACAACTTGGCCAACATGACCCATGAGGTAATAATTAACATACTGAAGAGCAGAATGAAGCATGGTCTATGTTGATCCAGCCAGTTTTGCAGCAAAATGACCTCAGTTTTAAACCTTGAATACCCATGCAACAGAAATAAAAGGGAACCAACTTTAGCATCAGATTGTATATGTACAGTCTCATAGAAATATATACATCTACCGATTTGTCATCTTTTCTACAGTGTTGGTTTGTCTTTAGCTATCGAGCTTGTCCACAGCTTTTGCGGGTGAAGGCAAAGCCATCCAGTTTGCATAAACACTATCATTGGCATATCTTGTAAAGACTGGATTAGTGGCATCATGTCTGTTGAGCGGTACCGGGCTCTTCTCAGGCCAGTTCGGGTATGACATGCCTAAAAACGAGAACATATCATTTTTCTGCACTCAGTGAAAGATAAACAGCGTGCAGACAGTAAGGCTCTCAAATCAAACTCTGCAGTGCCTGTCTCTGAAAGGAGTCCTGATCTGACTCTCTGAGGTGTAAAGTTATGGCTTTGTGTATGCTAGATAAAATGAAAGATAATATTATTTATTATTTATTGGCATTTTTGAGATGTATCGAGGCTATCGTGTTGCTCCCTGTATTTTACCTATGGCTGCCTTCCTGTATCTGTTCAGAAAGTCACTTGAGAGTTGCATTCAAAAGCCTTACTGTTTCTCTGTTCAGCATTGTGGAATCATTATAGTTCAATAGCTGATACACATTAGAAATTTAAAACAATCTGGAATTGAAACCACGGTGAGTGATTGATTCAGCGAGGACCTGTTTCAAATGTTACACACTGTTTCGTCCAATGCAAACAAATGATGAAAAGGTGACAAATGGAGTGTGATGGAATGAAAAAATTGAGCTATGTACAAATAAAATGCAGATGAAGCGCGAGTATGAGCAGTGCCATATAAATTAGAATGATGGTTATATTCAGTATTTACAAATGTGGCATTTTTTTTTTTGGTTCAGCATTCATGTACATTAGAAGCAGGTCCAAATAAAATAATAAAATCAAGACACAAGATCTTTTTTTTTTTCACTGAGCCTCTCATTTACGATGAAATGGGAGATATGTCAGCATTAATCAGCAAAAGGCATGCCTAGATCACAGTCACGCACACTTGACTATGGAAAAGCCAATCACAACTTGCCAAAAAAGAGAGCTTGTGTTGTGTGTCCTGTTTCTAAAATCTAGTAAATGCATGGGAGATTCTACCATAGAGCTTGTTTTCAATCCATGTGGAGGGGAGGGTTCGAGGGAGAGGGGCGTTATTACAGTCCACTAGTGGTGTGTCCTCTTCAGAGAGGGCGTCGTCGTACAGCAGGGCGTCAGCTGGCGTGGACGCCGCAAGGTCCAGGTAATCCTGACAAGAGCAGACGAGGGTGTGATTAGGCTGATTAAGGAGGAGAGGAGTCTCAGCACACTAAGGCCTGAAAGGTGACTGAAAGACCCTGCAGACATACTGTATGTGCAAAACCCTTCTTGTTGTTTCATCCACTACCTCTCTTTTGATAACAGTGAAGAACTAGCCTGCTGCATTCTGGGATGTTTGCATTCCCTATGTCCTTAAATGCTCTATATTTAGCCTCCCTTCAGCAGCAGGAGCCTGACTGGAATGCTCTGTGATTACGCTGCCCAAGGCCACATTTTAGGATTGCTCTTCAAACACTAATTATGGTATCTAAAACATTTGGGAAGAGTGACAGATCATTCAGTGAAGCAGGCGCAGCATGTGTTTGTGCTTATGCAGTGCATGTTGTCCAGCAGAAATGATATACTGCTCATTGTGGGCTCGCTGCAAGTCCAAAAGGAGCGGAAAGCTGAAAAACACTAACTTCAGACTGTCAGATCCCAGTGATGCATCACCGAGTTTGTCAACATTGCGCCAGTAATGCACGGAGTGAGGCTGATTAATAGGCTCTCCCTTAATATTTTCCTGATGAAGATTATGAATAACTTATCATAATGTATTGTATAGCTTCACCATACCCGACTTTTCACCATCATCTTTTCCAGTTCTTTGCTGATGTCTGAGAATGTTGGCCTCTTGTCTGGTTCTTGTTTCCAGCATCGAAGCATGAGGTTATACCTGTGGAGGAAAATATTTCATTGTGGGTGAAATAAGCATCATTTAATCCTCCCAACAGAATCATTTTCCACAACCGACTGTCTGTCAATGTGCTGGAGGGGGCGTAATTGTTCTCTCCCCAGAAACGTGGAGCGTAACAGATCTTACATTTCCTCCGAGCAGTTCTCTGGTCTCTCCATCCTGTAGCCGGTCTTGAGGAGGTTAAAGAGGCGTTCAGGGGCGATACCTGGGTATGGATTTCCTCCCAGTGTCACTATCTCCCACAGTAGCACACCAAAGGACCAGCTTAGAAGAAAACACAAGAGTATAAGAATATTTAAATCTGTGTGTTAAAGGAAAATAGATCAACTTTTAGGGAAATATCTTTGTTCGCTTTCTCAGTCAGCGTCCGGTTAGCTTAGCTTAGCACAAAGACTGGAAACATAGGGAAATATCTAGCCTTGTTCTGTCTGATATTTTTAGTTTGTTACAAAAACTGAAATGTAAAAACTGGATCTGGTTCATTATATTATTATATAACAAAGGATATATAATGTAGGCTATTGCTTAGTGAGATTTAAAAGTGCTGGTAAGCAGATTCTATTATCTTGGTTGTTTTCTTCTATTTCCAGTCTTTATGCAAAGCTAAAAGCTAAGCTAATCATCTTTAAATTTGATATGATATTGGTATCAATCTTCTCATCTACCTTTGAACAATAAAGCATTATTGCCCAACATGTCGAGACTGTCCTTTAAATGATTATATTATACTCACACATCACTTTGTGTTGTGTAAATGTGGTCAAACAAGGACTCTATTGCCATCCATTTCACAGGTATACGGCCCTGGAAAACAGAGACAAAGCTTGTTATATTTTTGTTGAAAAGATTGTTGTAAATAAAACTAAAACATTGTAATTTTCTGTCTGGTTTCTTTACCTTGCTCCTCTTCACATATGAGTCCTCTTCATACACATCTCTGGAAAGGCCAAAATCTGAGATCTTCATCTTCCTTCCTTCAGCTACAAGGACGTTTCGTGCTGCAAGGTCCCTGTGAACAAGCTGTTGAA